GTCGGTTGAGCGTGCGTTCTCCACGTCCCCGTGCCCGGAGATGTTGTACTGGAACGCTGCTGCCGCCGCGCACTCGTACATGGGCGCTTCGGATATCGATGACCTGGTATGAAAGTGCTTCTTTTTGAATTGTAGAATCAGCGATGCCAAAGCGTCTTCATTACGACCTATATTCGCACGCTGCGTTGCTGTTCAAAAATCCGGAGCAGTCGTTGTTTCTTTACGCATGCAGGACGACAATTTCAAAACTTAAACACAACTATAAATAACAACAGCGCCAGATGTGGTTTCGTACGTACTTGACCAACGTCATCAACTGGATGGGCCGCGACTCCGGTCCGCACCCGGTCTTGCAGTGCATGGACACCTTGATCACCCGCGTTCAGGAGGGGTTTCCGAAATACCAGAAGCTTCCCCAGAACACCTTCTTGGAGATGACCGGCCGCTTTCGGAGCCAGCTCCTCGCCATGGACCAGAACCGTACTGATGGAGAATTTTCCACGTTGAAGGGGCAGTTGACCGCCATGACGACTACCTGCGAGAACGCCCTTCCGTTCGACCAGCGCGATGGGATTCTGGAGATGTCCGGCGTCAGCGACTTCTTCGTGAACTTCCCGGTCCCGGATCGCAGCCCGGTGAAGCCGTTGCACGACTTGTGTGTCATGATCTGCAACGTCTTCGTCAACGGGCCGGAGAACCTGAACATCCAGAACATCGCCCGCGATGCTCTGACGATGAAGAACGAGTACGATCAGAAGTTCGTTGTGGCGTTTCCCTCCATGATCGACGCCGCGCAGGGATTGCTCACGGCTTTCGTGAAGATGATGCAGTCCACGGAGGAGGGGGCGCTCCGGACGCACCTTTCCAACGGCACAATAAGACTAAGAGCGAAAAGATGATGTTGCGAGGGAGGAGTGTTGATTTTTGACGCGAGCGCTACAACCACTCAGAGGCGCGTATGAAAATCGGTCCCGTGCATACAAGTTTCAATTTCAACTACACAAAACTACTCACAGGTCAGTACGACCAGGCCATGGCGGAGCTCAACCGCATGGAGCTCCCCATGGCGTTCTTGGACATGGACGTCCGGCAGCGTCTTTACAAAGAGATCGAGAGGGAGCGTCCCGTTGCCGGTGCCGCCAACGCTGCCGGTGGTCCCGCGGGGAACGGTGAACCCGCGCCCCAACGACGACGCATCAACATCAACTTGCGCCAGGCCGTGCCGCAGCAGCCCGCTGCCCAGATTGGTGCGATCCCGAATCCGGATGATGATCCCACGCTCAATGCGGACATTGCGGAAGTCGACGTGTGATTTTGCTATTCAGAATTAGAAATAGTACTGTCGTCAAAGTAGAATTGATAACCACGCGTACCGCGCTGGCACCTGTATGATGATGATTACACCTCGGCACTCTTTTCCTTTGACTTTCGACTATACTATACCTGAGAAGGGGCAGTGGTAAATCTGCCATGCTTAGTGGCCTTCTTCTGTTTCTACAACAAATGCACAATTCCACTTTGGCCATCAATTTTCGATGATAGAGTTTGTTGTATGATGTAACAGCACAAGTGATTTAAGCCCCTACACTTTGCGCACGGGGTGCAATTTAGTAGGAGTTACTAGTTTGAGTGAAAAGCCGTTGGGTTCTAGTGACAAACATATTCCAGCACTCACATCGTGGTGGAGGATACAACTTCTACACAGGGGGTCGAGAGTCTAATTGTAAAAATTATTATTATTGATTTTTTTAGTGTGGAGGTGTGAGTTTCTGATGACTAGTTCTGCACTGTACATAGAGTTTTGCAATTCGGAATTGGTGTAAAGCCAGAGTCTGAATTGTCAAATTTCACTTTGGGGTTGGAAAAGAAAAATACAAACGCGCTACACATTCTAGGTCGTAGTACTTTTATTGTTCGCGTTACACATGGCACAAGCAGCACAGGTCGGTGGAAGAATTCGGTGAAAGAACTTGGAAACTCGGTCGAAAGACGCGCGCACATGAAGGCTTGGTAGTGATGGAGTCGGAGACTCGGTGTGAGTGTGTGTTTGTATGCCAGAGCTGGCAAGCGTCGTCGGTGTGCCCGTAGCTGCGATAGTGAAAAGGCTCGTGGTGATGGAAAAGGGGACTCGCGAATAGAACAAAAGAGCCGCTAGCTCTCACATCGTACACACACTCTTCTATGCTAATCGTCCTTCATAGTAGCAACTCAAACCAGAACGCTCTTAGACCAGTTTCGCAATCTCAGCCGCTTCTCAAAAAAAAACGATCATCTTGTATACGTAACTTCACAACTTCGCAAAATCTCGCTTCTACTTCACATCTATCACAAGAAAAAACACAATCTTCACATCTACAGCGTACATGCTCGCGTCATACATAGCTTTACACTTTTTACATTCAGACTTGTAGCCACACATGCACACTTGCTGATACAAAATGGAAGCCGCCTCCCCGGGCGGGATATAAGTTCGGGCGTATTGCAAAACTGGCAAGAGATCGCGCGCAAAGAAAGAAGTTCTTACTCATGCATAGGTGCGTAGTCCGTTCATACACATACACGGTTGCTCCGTCCGATCGATCTGATTATGCTTTTCGTGTGGACATACAAACACACTGCAGGTGCGACTAGTACTACACAGCTACCAAAACACGCTTAACGCAGCTCCCGCTGAGCTTTGCGATTGTGGCGAAGGGCGATTGTGGCGAAGGGCGACTGTGGACCGCCCGGTCGACGGGCAATTGTGGATGTGGCGAAGGGCGACTGTGGATGTGGCGAAGGGCTGTTTGGAAGAAGGGCGATTGTGGATGTGGCGAAGGGCGATCGTGGATCCGCCGCCGACAGCTGCGATTGTGGACGCGACAGTGGCCACTGCGGGTGGAGCGTGGAATGCGAGATGCGGGTGGAGCGGCCGACGCGAAAATGTGGATGCGACAGTGGCCACTGCGGGTGGAGCCGTGGATGCGAGACGGCGGTGGCGCGGCGACTGCGAAATGTGGATGCGGCAGTGGCCACTGCGGGTGGCGCGGTGGACGCGAGACGGTGGTGACACGGCGGCTGCGAAATGCGGATGCGGCAGTGGCCACTGCGGGTGGAGCGGTGGACGCGCGATGCGGGTGGAAGTGCGGCTGCGAAATGTGGATGCGGCAGTGGCCACTGCCGGTGGAGCGGTGGACGCGAGATGCGGGTGGAGCGGCCGCTGCGAAATGTGGAAGCGGCAGTGGCCACTGCGGGTGGAGCGGTGGATGCGAGACGAGTGTGGAGCAGCGGCTGCGAAAAGTGGATGCTGCAGTGGCCACTGCGGCTGTCGCGGTGGATGCGACATGCGGGCGGAACGACGGCTGCGGAATGTGGACTGCGAATGGAGCCTCCAGCTGTAGCTCTGCTACCAACGCGTGGAGGCGTGCTGCTGACGGGTGGATGTGGATTGCGGATACCAGCGTGCTGGCGACGCGCAATCGCAACTGCGGACGGAGCGGAGACGGGACGCGGAAAATACGGCGCTCACTGCGACGACAGCGGGGAGCGGAACTGCAGACACGACTCAAACATATGCGGAATCTAGTTTACAGTGAGTATTGTGAAGCTTGCATGAGGTGGTGGTTCTCTCTGATCAAAAAAAAAAGCAGGTGGCGAACACAAATCCGAACGGCGACATTTACGGGCGACGACCATCATCGCGTTGTGCTTTTTCTAATCACAAAAAGCTCAAATTGCGTGCGTAGACTTGTAGTCTGCGGCGATGCGGGCATGATGCCTAAACAAGAACACCTTCGCGAGCCGGCGATCCCCACCTGATGTTGGTTGAGGTGGGAGGCCGGCCAGTTTGGTGTTCGCGAAAAAAATACTTTCCAAAGAAATCCGGAAGAAATCCGAAATCCGGGGCCCATCAGAGCGCGGCGGCGCCAAGAGATCCTGCAGGAATTCCCTGGCCCATCGCAGCGCGGTCACCGATTCCAAACGCTGCCGCGCCGGCGTGGGAGGGCGCTCGACCAGCCAGGCCGGCCCCGCCAATAGACCCAGGCGGGAGCCTGGCTGCCCCAGAAACAAGGCCGACCGGGCCGGGCGCCGCCGCCTAGCTTCCACCGGCCTGCGACCCCGAAGCGCGGCCGGCCGATCGAAGGTGGCCACGCCGGCAATGTCAACAAATGGGCGCAGGGCGGCAAGCGGGGGGGGCCCTAAGCACATAGATGCGCGCCCCCCCGCGAACACTGACTCACTGCTCGCGGAATCCGGCCCACGAATCTGATCCGGCGCCGTGTGTGTCGCCCCTTCTGGGAGCACACCGCGCCGCCGCGCGCCCATTTACGCAACAGCCGGAGGCGCAACACCTGCGACCTCGATATGAGTGCGCCGCCGCACCGCAGGGCGCCCGCGTGTGCAACCCTTTCGCCGGCTTGCTTCATGCCTTTTCTGGCCAAGCACCCACCCCACCCCGGACCGGCGGCATCCACGTGCCCGGTGCACTGCCCGCCCCTCCCCTTCCTCTGATGCTTCACAAGCTTGGCCCCACTGCTCCCGCGTCATATCGCCCCACCTTGCTTGGCTCGTCAGCGGGAAGGAAGCGCGCAAGCGCCGGCGCTTTGGCGTGCCCGCCTACGAGGCATCTCCGCCCTAGTCTTGGGGGGGTCGGATGGGTGGCGGCCGGAGTATGTGGCCACAAAAGCCCCGACCCTTCAGGGGGCGCGTCGTCGCACAGGCCCCACGCGCGGGCTCCCTGCTGCCTTCGCCTTCTTGCCTGCGCGGCGGCGCTGCCACCGGGTGCGTCCCTGCTTGCTAGCCGCATCCATCGGCTACGTATCCGGCGCCTGTCCTCTTCGGTAGGCTTCCCGGGGTGGCAGCGCGGGCGCTAAGGCTTTCACGCCCAAGCCTTGGAGGCCGCGCGCCAACTGCACGGCAGGGCAGGGCGCCGGTCGGAGCTCGGAAGTGGGTCATTGTGTATGCTAGTTTGACACCCGAACAGAGGTTGCACCAGAGAAAAGCTCCTGAAGATTTGCGAACAAAATTTTGAGCCGCTATCGACCCTGTGCACATAGGCAGTGGCTAGCTCTGAGTGCGTTCGTCGTGCTCATTGGCTATACACACGACAGCAACCTTCGCGACAGAGAGACGATTTTTGGAAAATGTCTTTCACAAAAAACTGCGAGGGGTTTTCTTCATCAAAATCCGTCCGCGCACCCTGTCTCTGTTGCTTGGGTACAAAACGCCGCGCATTTCTATTCTCTTTCGCCCAAATCCAAGCCACCCTCGGCCTTGCAAGAGCATCAAACTCTTCCACCTCCACGACCCCATCTCGTCATCCTTCCCCTCCCCCGCCTTCCTCCTCCCAGCTATGCGTCATTTCCAGGGGCCCGCCAGATTCCGGATCCCGCAGTCGCATGCCGGTCAACTCCACAGTTCTCGCGTAAATCCGCTGCACCTCCTTCCATTCCTCTTTCAGTAACTCGTTGCTCGCCGGGTGTTCGTAGTCATTGTAAAGTTGGAGGGACAAGGTCTTCGTATCAAATGCAAAAATGTCTGGGAGGTCTGGAAGATTGTCATGCTAGTCTGGCATGACTCTGCACTCTGTATTGCGCGGCCACCAAGAGGTCCTCTTGCCTGTCATGCAAAAGCGCAGTTTCTCATGCGAAATACGCATCACAGAAGCACGAAAAAACTTGTCATGCTTGGCGGCGCATTACAGAGCACTTATTGTTCACGGACTTGCATCACAAGTTTCCAGACCCAGACATTTTTGCAGTTGATACTTCGATTTCGGAAACAAATCGTCCATGAGCTCCTTCCGCACGACCGACGGGATCGTAGCACCACCTCCGCTTCCCCCAAAACCCCCGCCGCCCTGTCCAGTATTACCCGTCATCCCCGGCACGGGCCCCCCAACGCTGCTGTTCTGCGCGACGTTTGTTCGGAGAAACTGCTGCAAAAAATCTTCCACCATCTTCGCTTTTTGCGCGTAGATTTTTCTTCTAAACTTTCGCTGTTGGACACCCTGCGCAAGCTTTTCCTTCTCGGCGTATTCTTCGTCTAACTTCGCCTGCTCCCTTATTTGCTCCTCCAAAGCTTTTTTTTCCAAGTCTGCTTTGATCTCCTCCGGCGTCAGATTTTTCCGCTTCTCCATCTCTAGCTCCACTATGCACTGCAAAAGTACAGTATCTAGTAGAAATCGCATGACAAATTTTCTCAGCATGAAAAATGGAATTTGTCATGCTGATTTACCTTGGGAATCAGATTTGTAATGCAAGAATGCGATTAGTACGAGTACGATACTTTTGCAAGGCATATCCACCTTCTCACAGTTGTGATTGCTGTACCGGCAGTTCTCGCACAGAATCCGCCCGCAGTGTGTATGCATTGCAAAGATGTATGGCTCTGGAAATTTGTGATGCGGGACTCGACAATTCTAAGAACGTCTCCATTGACGGCCAAGCATGCCAAATTGTTGAGTTGTTAAGACGTGTTGCCTCTTCCTATTTATTCTGCTTCTGCATGACAAACCTTGCACTCTTCGTTCCAGACCACAACACATTTGCAATGCATAGTCCGGACACCAGAAAGATTCTACCATGGAAGTGACAACAAAGGACATTGACTTGGCGAATCGCTTCGTCGCCCGGTTTATCAAATGTAAAAATGTTCGGGTCTGGAAGAATGCATGTTTGTCATGCTTGTTTGGCATGACTCTTAAATCTGTCATGCAAGTTACCCAAGAGCTCTATTTTTCTGTGATGCAGAAACGCAGTTTGACATGCAGAATAGGCAACACCTAGAAGCTCAGAAACTTGTGATGCTGAGCCAGCATTTCTGGCCTCATCATGAGACGCCACCCAGCATCACAAGTTTCCAGACCCAGACATTTTTACAGTTGATACGGTTCCCGCAGTGCCCGCATTTCGCCTTGACAAATTCCTTGAAGCTGTCCGCGACGAATTTTTCGATTTGCTGTCGGTGCGGGTACCGCGGGTTGTCCGGGTCTTGCGGGAGAGGATTGCTTGGACCTGAAGAATCGACGGCGGTGGAAGAGGAGGAGGCTGCGGCCATTTTAAAATTACTTATACGGGAGCGGAGCGCAACAGGAAAACGTAAATGTAATGTTAAACAGACGCCAACGAGGAAAGGCACGAATTATATTAGAAGCGTTTCTGACAAGAATTACAGCTACAAATACTTCGTCGATGAAAATCAAAAATGTGGACACTGCTGGAAAGAGGTAATCATTTTTGATATGCTATTCTTTTGACTCGACAGACCACTTACAACTATGATGGATTTTCTGCCAGTTTTTTCAGAAGATGTAAATCGAAAAACTAACAGAAAAATCAAGTAAGATACGTCAACAGTCAGCTGGAACTGCTTCAAGATGCGAATGAACAGGCACGAGTGAACATCAGCCGCATCTCACCATTATTGGTGACACTGCTTTTCATCTCCTAAAAATCTCACAACGGACTTCAAAAACTCATCTTTGTTCTCGGTTTTGTTCATCAAAAAATCATCTTTATTCTCGAGTCAGAGGATGTTTGCTCGTCGCGATCTCATCGCGGTGGAAGCTTTGTGTTGCTACTTCAATCTTCGGCATTTTTGTTAAATCGTTCTCTTATCCTGAGAAAGTGCGACGTGCTATCACGGCAGCTCGCTCGATTCCAGCCGCATTAATAGTTCACCTAAATTCAAAAGAAAGCCAGCTGCGAAACATATAATTTATCTCGAATCATACAAAGCGTCGTGGACAGTAGCGCTAGTTTAGCACAGCTCTCCCGCAGATTTATTAAGTTGTCTCAGTCTCACTCCCCATCCTCCTTCTTCTCCAGCGGTCCATTTCCACTGGTCGATGTTTTATCGTCATCTTCATCATCTTCTACCTTCGTACTCTCCGACTCCGCCGCATCTTGTTCGCTAGAAGAAGTACTTCTTGTTCCCTCGTCATTTCCGTTTTCCTCTCCCCCGTTCCCGTTGCCGTTTGCAGTTGTGCTATCGGTGCTACAGTCCGGACAAGAATCTCCCTCCGTCAAAAACGCGTCCAGGCCAAACTATCAAAAGGAAAAATCTCGCCTCCCCATACTGAAAAGGTATATTTTTGGAAATCTGTGACGCCGATTTGTGGTCACAAATCGTGTTTGTCTTGCAAGAAGGCAACTGCGCAGACAACCGCGGCATCGTGCAGACGGTTTGTCATGCTGTTGGGCCTGCAGCGCGGATGCTTTTCATGCTAAGCGCCTAGCCCAAAACCTCTCTACTCACACTTGATATGGGCTCGCAGTGCTCTCCCGCAAGACATCTCGGATTTGTGTACACAAATCCAGCATCAGAGATTTCGTTTTGATGTGGGGAGGAGGAATTTTTCCTTTCGATACCAACATCCCGGAATTCACCCCCAGCGAGAAATAGTTTTCCGTTTCTGATTCCAACAATATGAGAGTGCACAACTGCTCCCACTCCCCCTCATTTGTCATGCGAGAATCCAAATCCAGTCGCTGCGCTGCCTTGCCTTTGTGGCACTGTTTGCATGACAGATTCTGAAGGAGCACAAACAGTACTAGATCAGGCACGCAAATTTGTAATGCACAGGCTCCACGTGTGCTGGTGTCTGTATTCCTTTTCATGCCACAGAAAGAAATGCGGGTGAGGGGGAGTTGTGCACTGTGATAAACAGGTTGCTCCACGCCTCGGTTGTCTCCTTCAACAATTCGTCGGCTTTTTTCTTCATTTCCCCGCATTCATCGTTGTTTTGCAAATGCTTTTCCCCGCCGCCGCCGCCGCTGCAGAGAAGCCATTTCAGGATTAAAGCACTATGCATTGCAAAAGTACCGCACTCTTCATAGTAATTATTGCATTACAAATTGACTCGGCATGACAAATTGCCGATTTACCTCAACAGCCAGACTTGTAATGCATAAACGCAATTAGGACGAGTGCGATACCTTTGCAGTGCATAAGCACGAAACCCGGTCAACTTTTTCACCGCGTGCTTCATGTCCAAGGACCAGGTTTCCAGCCACAAGTCCATCCGGTTCTTGGCACGGGTGCTGTAATATTTTTATTCGTGTAGAAGGATTCATCTTTGAAATTAGCATGACAAACTCGTGCGGTGCACCAGTAGCATCTTCGTACAGGAGCACCTGCACCACAATCGAATCACAGGCCCGCATACCCGCATGACAAACACGGTGGTGGTCCATTTATTGCATGACAGATTCCTATTGATGACAACGGAAAAATCAATATTATACAGTCCCTCCGCCGCAATAGCCGTCTGCAGTTTGTTCAAGGACAGCGTGTGCACCACCACCGCAAAGCATCCTGAGGAGAAACGTCCCCACAGCTAAGTTGTCATGCAGATTTGCATGTTCTTGTGCAGGAACGTCTGCAAAGAGCGAGCCTCTCCATGTCGTGGGGCACTCCCAGTCGCGTTTTGGCATTTGTAACGCACGTGTAAAAAGGGTAAGCAGCTTGCTTGGAGCTTTGCGATTGAGTGCGACGGACTGTCCTTGCTGAAAATCTGCGCTACACTCCAGATACGAAAATTTCTCATGTGTGTGACCTCCAAGAGTTCTGGATTTGTGTTGCAAGAGTTTACATATGTGGAAAACGTTTTCACCCAGAATACAGAGTCCAACTTGTTCAACGCCACCGAAAACTCGTCCACATCGTAGTCGTCGACTTTGTCATCAATGTTCGCGTCCGTGATGTTTTTCACGTCGATGCTGGCATCGGAGTGCGCAAACTATGCATTGCAATAGTATCTTTTCCTCGTAGTCGTACTCGTAGTAAAAATAGCATCACAAATTTCTCAGAGGGAGAAATGGAAATTGTAATGCTAAATTTCCGTATAGAAAACAGATCTGTCACGCATGACTGCGATTCATACGAGAGCACGATTGACTTTTGCAGAGCTTAGAAACAGCCGGTCCGCGATGATCCTCACTTTTGCCAACGCGGTGAAAACGGAGGTGGCCGAGTTGATCTCCATCTGGAGCGTTTCAAAAGCGGAGGACTTGCGTTTCTCGAATTCTTTCAGCACCGGAATCCAGTTCGGGTACAGATCCCCGTACATTTCCGGGAACGACGGTGCGTGGTTGTCGTGGACTTCTAAGTCCGGGATGATAACGGGCGGGATGTAGCTTAGCTTTTCAATTTCCTCATCTTCATTTTCTTCATCCTCATCTTTCTCGTCCTCATTTTCCGCACTGTCCCCGAGTTCCTCACGCCCTTGCGAGTCGGAGTACGGAGAGGCCTCATCATCATCATCATCATCTCTTCCTGCAACGTCGGCGTTTGTTGTTTTCTCGCCGCTTTTCTCAATCTTCCCCGCTCCCAGAGTGTTATCTCCGTCCGCCGTCTCTCCGCTCTCTTCCACATCCGCACTGTCAACGTCCTCAGACTCATATCCTGTGCAAAAGTATCGCACTCGTATAAATGCCAGGCTAGCATGACAAATCTGGTTTCTTAGGTAATTTAGCATGACAAATTCAATTTTTCATGCTGAGGAAATTTGTAATGCATTTATACGACACCGATACTTTTGCAGTTCATAACTCAGGTTGCTGTTGGACGGACGGCGGATTACTAGCGCCGGAGGAGTTTGCCTTGTCATTTTCCGAACCTGGTGTTGCTCCACCGCTTCTTTCATCGGAATCATCGCTGTCTTTGTTTTTGTCCTCCTGTTCGCTCTCACCTTCTGGTGACTGCCTGTTTCGCCTTACACGCCTGGAAATGCTACTTTTGTTGAGCTTAGAAGTTTTCTGGTCAGTAGTTCCTTTTTGAAAACTCTTCTTTGCAGCTGTGCTCACCAGGTTCAGGCCCTGCTTCACTCGATGGCCATGATGAGATTTGCTACTCTGGAGGTGCCTCGCAGCAGCTTTTCTTTGCGATCTTGCAAGGGCGCGAAAATCATGCCTGTTGCGTTTGTTGTTCCGAAGATTGCTGCTTGACCGGCCCGTCCCACGGATCTTGCCACGGCCGCCCCGTCGAAGTTGTTGATGGACGAGTTCATCTTGTGCCACTTTGGGTCTCGACGAGGCAGATGATCGTGCCTGCGAGGATTTCGCCAGAAAAGCAGCCGCTTGCCCTCTCGACGCGGCGCTGTTTTTAACTCTCCGCTGCTGCTGGTGCGGGTTGGTTTTTGCACTGCCACGGGCTTCTCTGCTGGTAGTTGATGGCGAGGACGAGATCACGTGTTGTACTTCAGGAGCGGACGCAGTAACTGTTGGAGCCGGATGTTGAACTTGAGACGAAGATTCTCCGCCTACTTTGTGAAACCAATTCTGGATCCTTTCGCCGAGAGAAGGCAGTTTTTCCGACGAAAGCAGGTGCTGGCCAGTGTCATCCACATGGTGCAGGTGATGTTGGTCCTCGTCCGCTTGATATACTTCTCGTCGACGGGAATTATCGGGCTCGATGCCTCGCGCGTTTGTGAAGGGTGCTGTAGCGGGAGTCAGGGTGTTGGCCAAGAAAACGCTAGATGGGGTGAGCCAGTGCCAAAATAGTGCTCTCAGACACAAAAAGGTCCGAGGCGAGTGGCCCATTATTGTTCGCCGACGCAGGAGTGGTGCGTCGTTGTTGCTCTCATCTGGGCTATGGCGGTGGCTGTGAGGTGTAGATGTATTACGGTTCGGAAAAACAGAGCATTATGCAAATGTCGAACGGGTTCTCAACAAATGACACATGGCTTCGACTAAGTAGTACGCTGCTGTGCCTACCGAGGTAGCAAGCATTCTGCCGCCGCTGAAGCGATCAAACGAACAAAAGGCTGACGCCTTGTATGGGTACGCAGGCACCGCCAAGCGAGAGGCCTGCATCGCATCGCCCAAGCTCTGTGATTCGACAGACGGACAGGAAATCGCCCCAACGCCGCCAAACATTTCTCTTTTCTCGGAAACTGTGGCTGCGCCCGCGAGCACCTCCAAAACAACGAACCTCGCGGGACGAACACGATAAGGCAGTACGCGCCGGCTAAACTACAACTGCCTGCGCGCCACGCGCCCGGCGTGGACCGGCGACCCCCTTCCCATCCCATCACCCGAGCGCCCGGGCATACATAGAAAAAAGCCCCGGGCAGGCGTGTGCGTCGTGATAGATTGATTCTGCCGGCCGCCCGGCCGCGGGCGGGCGGCCCCCGGGCAACCTCTCTGGGCCGCCCCCATGCGGATCTCGTGGGTAGACAGTTCGCTGCTGCCGGTTTTCGGCCAGCCATCATGTGGGACCAGGTCCCTGCCATTCTGTCCTTCTCCAGATGGTTTCGCGCCCCCCTTCGGGCGACTGGGCAGGCAAGCCGGCCCGCCAAGCAAGCGGCGGCAGCGGCGGCAAGCAAGGTCAAACGGCGCGGCCCATCGATCCAATCTGCCAACAGCGGCGCGACGCTACATGGCGGGGCGCCCTAGGAGCTAAAACAAGCCGCGCGCGTGCGAAAGACGGGCGGGGCGCCGGCTTTGTGCCGGCTGCCGGTTGCTGTGCCCACGCGCGCCAGCGCGCGGCTCGGCCCCTTCAGGCTCTGGGCAATGCGTCCGCGCAGAGTTCAGGCAGTTGGATGGGCTCCGCAGCGGGTTCAACTTGCTCTCGCCGAACTTCTTCAGGATGCCCAGCAACAAACGGGCCCCTTCCTTGAACCGGCGGCCCGTGAAGCGGGCGCAGAACTGCATCACACGGCCCGCCCCTTCTTGGCGAAATCGGCAGACACCTCCTTGATGGCCCCCCCCCATGCCAGCCTGCAAGGAAGCACGCACCCCGCTTCGGCCGGCCCGGGCCCTTTTGCAGTGTCTTGAACGACGGACCGCTACCCCCCAAGGCCCAAGGGCGTGGCCCGGCTCGCCCTCGCCCGCTTGCGAGGGAAGAATTGCAAACACGGCCCCACCACGCACTGCCGGGGCGATGCTGTCCCTGCATGTGTCCCACCCGGGCGCCATGGACACTGCACAAACAGCGGCCGCGCCAGCGTGACAGGCTGACCCACTTGCTTCTATCTAGGCGCCCCCTTCCGGCCCGCCGTTCCCGACGTGGCTCCGCGTGTGGTGCTTGCGTCTCCGCGCGCCGACTTTGCAGGCAGGGCCATGGCTCTACCTTGCACGCGCACAACCTAGCAAGATGGGTCGGTCGCGGGCCTCCTCACTCGGCGCGCTGCGCCCGGCCTCAATGATTTGCGGAAAAGGGGCGGCCGCGCACGCACAGGGGCGCGCACTCGCTCCCTCTGACCGCCCTCGTGGCGGCGCCCGCCCAGCTACAAACGGCGCCGCAGCTCCCTGGCCTCCGCAGTTAGGACTGTTGCGCCAGGCACGTCTCGCGGTCTTGGCGGTGTGGGGGCGATAATGGAGGGGGCGCCTTACGCTTTCCGTCGCTTTCTCTCCCGCTTCGAAGGGGGCCTACGCCGCTTGCACCGGCGCGGTGGCCTTTTTCCCTTGCTTGTTTGGCGCGGGCAGAAATACTACCGCGCCCGGCTTCCCGCGCAAGTTGCGCCGGGCCGGCTGCCGTGGTCGCCAGCCTCGCGGGAAACGAAAGCCAGCGCCTCCGGTGCGTGCGGCTTTTGCTGCGGCATCGGGCAGGAAACTGACGCACATTCTGGCCATCGTGAGGCAGTGGCCGCGCATCAGCTTCGGGGCGGTCTCCAGGGGTTACATCTTTCACGATGCGCCAGATGCTCCCGCCGGGCTGCGCCTACGGTTGTTTCCGGTAGGGCGCCACACTGGGCCCATGAAGTCGCAAACCGGCCGCGTGGGCCGGGTCGGCGAAAGGAGCAAAAGGCCACAGAGCTGGCGCCCATGCGCGGGGCTAGGTAAGTACTCGATCCTTCTTGGTTCGGCGAGACCTACCAGGCGTCAGTATCTTCTTGTGGCACCCGGGCGAGAAAAACGAACACCTTTGCCAGCCGACGAGCACAAACAAATTATTCGCTGAGCGCGGAAGATAGACGGCGTCTTTCTTTGCCATGCATTTCTGCTTTCGCCGCATTCCTCGACCTCTATTTCGCCTAGATTTGATGCTGTATTCAGGTTCATTTCTTTCTTTTTCCGTGATACACATGTACGTGAGACTCAAACAGACACTCTCGCGGCGTAAAAGTTTCATTGGACAGTGCCGGCCGTATGGCACCTGTACCGTCTTCGAGCCAGGGAGTCATAGTTTCATTTAAGCACATACGGTGTTTGAGATATGTGAAGTGGTTTGGTTGATTTTTCTTCAGGAGAAGGAGGCTCTAATGTTCCGGATCCAGGGCTGCCGCAACCAAGTATGTTGCGGGATTAAAAAAAGTTGGATTTAACAAAAGCGTTAGTGCGGTCTGAGAGGGATTGAAACAAGGAGCGAGTTTGTAGCTTATGCTCTTTTTATCCCTCGTTATTTTTGTTAAAATTGATTTAATATTTCCATTCGAGATTACTGGGCTTAGCGTTCCATCTGCGTGAAAAAATTGAAAAACTTTGCAGCGGTGGTGGTCGAGGTATAGTATGGTAATAAAGCGAGCGGGGTTTTCGAGGACGACCAGTAAAGGATCACTTCCAGGCTCTTTTTCATCTAGTTCAACAAGAAACGTAAAACCATATCAAAAGAGGCTATGGCGAATTTGTTGAAAGAGTACCTAAAGGGCAACTTACAAATAGCTTTTCAGTCACTTCTGGAGGTCAGGAAGTAATAAAGGCGGGGGAGCAAGCGGCACGCGTGTAATTGTAATAAACAAGTACAACGCGCGCATCTTCCATAAAAAAAAAAAAAAATGAACGATAGAAAATCACTGTGGCCGTAGCAGCCTCGGGGATAAGGATAACAACTTACTAGTTGAAATATCGTATAGCTACTACGTGGCTGCGATGTCTTTCTCTTGCTGGGATGTGGCGAAGTTGAAACTATATCTAAAGTCGTGCATTGGCTTCGGTTCATGTTCAACGAAATTTTTGTAAAATTGAGCTGCAGGAGTGTGTCATCATGTAATTTGAACAATTAGACGTGTAGTTATTTCTAGCTGAACTCAAGCTGGATATTCATTTCACATTCACCTTCGCAATTTACGCGTAAATTTTTCGAAACGACGTATAAGGTATCAATTGAATCATACACCGGTCCTACGGTAGTATCTGTAGTGCCGCGCTCAAATCATTCAAATGGAAAAGTGAAAGTTGGACCCAGGAAATTTCTCTTCTCTTCCACTTTCCTCGACCAATTTCAATTCTTCTAATCCACCCCATTCTGGTCATCGACAGTAAGCAAATCCTTCTCCTGTCCCGTGTCAACACGGTTCATTCCCGCAACTACACCGCCCTTCTCCTTCTTCTCTTTCTTGTCCTTTTTCTTTTTCTTCACCTGCACCTGTTCCGTCCCGATTACATTTCCGTTTTCATCATACACCTCCTGCTCCACGAATTCCTTCTCTTTTTTCTTCTTCTTTTTCTCGGTTGTTGGCAGGATCGCGGGGGCGGCTCCTTCAACTTCTCCAACAACAGCACTTTTCTTCTCCTTTTTCTTCGTAGTGGACACTGCGCGATTACCTGCGATTATCTGAGCTGCAGCTGTTCCCTCGACTTCCCCGTCCCCCGGCAAAATCGTCTGGTCCACCGCTGGAACTACAATATGCGTTCCTGTTGGAGTCAAAACCTTGGCAGTCGTAGTCGTGGGAGTTTTCAGCACCGGTTGCTTGATGGATGTAGTTTTGCTTTTGCTGGTGCTGGTGCCGTAGTTGATTTTATCTTCTTGTGATGTCGAATTGGAAAAGTTGTCTCTTCCGGCAACCACTTCGTTCTTGATGTTTCGCAAGATGGAAGACGATGACGAAGATCCACCTGCAGCTGCTGTTCTAGAGGATTCAGACGTCTTGATGCTGCCGCTCACACTTTGATCCCCGGACACCAGTGCTTCTGTTCCTGCTCCTCCTGGAGGACCCTCCAGCAGACCCTGATGTGCTGTTACCCCTCCTGCTATAATTCCAGATGATTCTCTGGTCGACAATTTCGTGCTGTCAATCCGCCTCGTCGGGGGTGCAAAAGAGCTTGTAGCTCCGGGTTGCTGCTGCTGCTGTCCGTTATCCTCGTCCCCCACTGGAGAAGCAGTCGCCGTCACATTTACGACCGGAACGGTCGCGTGTTGATCCGCCCCTGAATTCGTCGGTCGGAGGTTGTGATAATTCGACGATGATGCAGAGTGCATTGTTGTAGAGTTGGTGGATTTATGCATAGAAGTTCCTCTCGAGGAGGAGGACGCAGCTTCAGGAGCGTCTGATGGCAGAACCTGCTGCGGTTGCCCCCCACAACTACCCGCGGAGCATGTTCCCCCGTTCCGCCCACCCGACTGCGAGCTCGCCGTCGAACTAGCCTTGGACTCCTGGCTTATGCATTGCAAAAGCATTGCACTCGTATGATTTGCTGCTATGCATGACAAATCTAGTTTCTTACCTGCGTTAGCATTGCAAATTCCACTTTTCTTCTTCTAAGAAAATTTGTATATATGCAATTCGTACTAGTACGCTATACCTTTGCAGTGCATATGGCTTCTCGATGACAGATTACTCGCGGAACTGCTCATGTTCAGTTTGCGCCGAGTTGATCTCCCTTGGATTCTTGTTCCGTCAATGTCCAAAAACTTGCTCTGTTGCCCAGTCGTTCTCGTGCCCATAGAAGCTGCTGCTGCTTTGCTGTTGCTGCTGCTGTTGGTGTGTACAACCCCCTGAAGTAGACCACTCTGCTGCGCCGTCATCCGCTTGGACGCGTCGGAGGGTATCCTGTGCAAAAGTATCGCACTCGTAGAAATGCAAGATTTGCATTACAAATCTTTTTTCAGAAAGTAAATCCGCATTACAGATTTCATTTCTCATGCTGAGGGCATTTGTAATGCATTTACACGAGTACGATACTTTTGCAAAGCATAGAGGGAAGGGGGTGCTCATGTCCAGCTACCTCCTGATCATCACAGTCCGTGGGCGTAGTCATATTGACGGACGTATTGTAGGTTTGTCTTGCGGAATTCATCACATGATTCACACTAGTTGTGCCTGAGACTGTTCCTGCTGTCATCATGTTGCTGGTGAAAATAGATCCGCTTAAATCTTTCGAGTTCTATGCCTTACAAATATGCCTGGGTCTGGAAGGATGCAAGGTTTGTCATGCTTGTCTAGCATGACTGAAGAGTTTGTCATGCGTTTTCAAGAAGAGATCCCTTTGCTTGTCATGCAAAAACGCAGTTTGTAATGCGGAAAACGCAACACTAAACAGCTCACTATGCCCAACCCAGCATTACAAGTTTCCAGACCCAGACACATTTGCACTTGATAAGTTCGATCTCGACTCCACTTCTCCCGCTGATATGGTTTGCGACTGGTGCATCCCGAACGCCCATGGGGTGGCGACTTCGGGGTAAAACAGGAAGCTGTTGTTGTTTTTCCTCGACGCAGACGAAGAACCAACATCTTCCGCCGCAAAACCAACATCTTCCGCCACACAACTGCCACTGCGCTGTTTCTTTTGTTGATTATACAGTGACTTCTTGTAGTCCAGAGCGCCCGTCATGCTGCTCATCATGTTGATCTGCGACGCTTGCGGCTGGGATCGGATGTACTGAACGCAGTCTTCACTTGCCAGAGCCGGGGGGGACGACGACGAACTCGAACACGAAGCCGCATGACCCTCGCTGTGTTTCATCACCGTTTTAAGATTCTGTTGCTCCCTCTTCGACTTGTTCGGTTTCTGCATTAGAAGCTTGTCAGACACGAGGCTCCTTCCTCGGGTGGACAAGTCTGTTGTCGCTGCACCAAGAACTCCTCCTTTCGGATTGTTACTCTTCGCTGGCCCAGGCCGCGCACCGTCAAAGACATGCAGGTGGTCGTTGTGCTGCGTGCTAGTATTCTCCAAAGAACCCCGACCACCATCTCCCGAGTCCGGTAACACGAAGGATGTCTTCGGTGCGGGAATCACCACGGAGTTTGTCGTGATTCCCTCTTCTATCGTTGCCGTGCTTGATCTGCGCTCTGGGTCGTCAGAATAGCAAGGGATTTTTCCGCTAGTAAATGGATTGCTCTCGCTGTTATCATCGCTGGAGGTTGCTGCTGCTGGTGCTGCTGCACTTGTTGTACTAGCTCCCCCCGCCGGGTCGTGAACTACACATAGCAGAACGCTCTGCACCTCCTTCCTAAGCCGTCTCACTTCTTCCGTCAGCGTCTTGTTCGCGCCAGCCAAAGTTCCGTTTTCTACCCGCAATGCGGACAGTTCCTGCAGCGCCTTGGCGAGCTGCGACCTCAATTGTGTGTTCTCCGCAAGATGAGCTGCTGGTAAGGAAGATGTAGTTTGCTTGTTGTAATCCTGCAAAACTACTGTCGAATTGACACCGCTAGAACTTCTACTTTCCTGGCTATTTTTATTGTCGCAACTTGCTCTACTCACGGCATCCGGCGTGTCTCGGTCTTTGTCACTAGTCGAACTGCAGCCGAGTGGGATAGTAGAAATTTTGCTCTCTTTGTTGATCATTCCATCATCATCTTTTTCAGTGGAGCTCAGAATCGGCACGACGCCTTCTATTGGAGCTGAATCGGATGTCCGTATGCTGTTTGAAGAAGTTGACTCTTTCTTGAGGAACAGACACGATGCTGGCTGTCTTTCTTTGCTAGTAGTTGTTCCCGTCATTGCTTTTGCTCCGCCCCCTCTGGTCAGGACTTTATTGCTCTTCCCCTTCTTCTTTGGGTCCTGGGAAACAAACTCCAACTCTGGAAGGAGAGAAGAAGGCTCAACGTCAGTGGATGTTGATGTCCTCTCATCTTTATTCGTAATGGCCGTCAAAAACTCCTCAACGACTGTCTGCGACGAGGAAGACGTGTCTTCAACATCCTCTTTCAAAATCTTCAGCAGTTCCCGTTGTTTCGGCACCTGGGCAACTACCGGGTACAGATCCGACTGAAACCCCGTCGCCCGTCTTGGCACGTTGAACGGCAAAAAGGTAAGTTGGTTGTCGGAGTCTAGTTTCGCCGCGCGCGCCACTTCGTGGGTTGTCGTGTCGAGGGCAAGCTTGGGGAAGAAGCCGATACCTTGCCGAGCGATGAAATACATTTTTGTAAATGGAATCATTGTTCTGTCGTAAACTACTTCTACGCGACCTGTTTTAGTCGCGCAAAAGCAAGAGGCTTGCAAAATGCAAAAACGAAGTTGCAAAACAGTAAGTTACACTACCTCTCTGCGCCACGCCGCTTGCGTATTCGTCGAGAAAGTGCAAACTTCCGTCCTGATACTCAAAGTAACGGATGTTGCCGTCTCCCTTACCCGCGAGAAACAAGAGGCCAGTTTCTTTGTCGAAAAAAGGCGTCAAAGGGGAGGTTCCAGAGTCTAACGTGCCGCTGGCCTGGGAAATCTTCGGGTGCCGCAAATCCCACATGGCGTACTGGCGTTGGGCTGTTGAGTTTCAGATATTTTTGCGGTGATTGCTTTTTCACTCAGAACCAGAAGTCATGGATGCTATAGGTAATCAATCTCATACTTTCTACTCAGGTAGATGAAGATGATCATCTCTATCATTTTTCATGATACGAACAAATTTACAACATCAACTAAAAATACTGCTCGCAGAGAACCCCGTGGTCAAATAAATCTGCGACTGACCCACCGTCCCCGAGGCCAGATCCACCGCATCGAGCCAGCAAATTTTTCCGCCGCGGGCACTATCGTGACACTTCTGCTCAAAGACAGGTTTGGACGTTCGCAAATCGAAGAACCGCACCATCTTGTCCCGGCACGGCGCCGCGAGCAGCTGCCCATCGAAAGACCAGCGGAGCTGATAGAAATTCTCTTTTTAGGTAAAAATTCAGAAGTTCTTCATGTATGTTGTACTAATCTGCATGTTGCTGTATTTGTTCCACAGCGTGTCGTGCTTGGTTGATGTTTATTTAAATGCCGGAATTTTCTTTTTTTCCATGCGGATCTTTTATTCCACTTTCTGTTTCACTTCGGCATGTCACAAAAAAAGACCCGAACAATACTTCTCACACAAACACGACGACATCTATACGTCCTGCGCCAGCTCCGGAATGTCGTACTCCCCGCACTTTTTCAGGCCCCGTTCTAGATATGGATTGCAAAAGCATCCCATCGCACTAGCACAAATTGCATTACAAAGTTGCTCAGCATGAGAAACGCCATTTGTAATGCTGTTTTACCTTAGGAAGAAGATTTGATGTTATGCATATTTGCAATTAGTACGAGTACGATACTTTTGCGCTCGATACTAGATCGAAATGAGCGATTTTGTAATCGTAGCTGCTCACCGTGACGAGCGGCAGCCCCCGGCTGTGCCAATTTAGCAGGTGGATTTTTTTCAGCAAATCCTGATCGTTTTCGCAAATCGGGGTTTTGTTCGCGCGCTCTACAGAGTTGGTCTGCATCATCTTCTCGTCGTCAACCTGGAAAACCCGCAGGCAGCAGTCCTCACAACTGGTTGCGATCAATTGGCCTATACTATGCAAACATGTCTGGGTACTACGGATCTCAAACCCAACAAGATCTGTGACCACACAGTCGCCAGTTTTGTCTCGTGCTGGGAAATAGGATCTATATCATGAAAAAAGCCGACAGAGGTCGTAAATAGAGGCGAAAATAAAATTATGATCATGCATAGATGCCACACAAGAAAATAAGATGATCAGCATCACTGCCGCGCTATGCAAGATTCAGCATGAGCAACTGACAGTTATGTTATCCAAACCCAGGCACATAATTTGCAATGCATATGGTCGTCAAAGGGACAGAACTGGAAATCCAGGATCCCACCGCTGTGGCCGGTTAGGACGCTGATTCCCTCCTCTCCGCCCAGGACCGAGGGCAGGCGTTTCGGCGGTTTGTCGCGCGCGTCTTCACTACAGGTCGTGGATAAGTCCTGTAGTTGTTCCCCTCGTCGCTCTGCATTGTTTCCTCCTGCTAGCTCGTCTGCCGTGGAGGTTGATGAAGGTGCCGATGGACCTGCGCCTGTTGAAGAAGAAGAATTCGCCGAAGAAGTAGAGCTACCACTGCTCGTTCCGTTATACGCAAGGAGACACAACGCGCCCGCACCGCCCCCGGTTTGCCAGGGGAACGCGAGGTGTTTTATCGTGAGAAAAAAGTGTTTCACTGTATAACGCGTTTGCGAATTTCGCATCACAAGTTCCTTCTCCATGACAAAGAAAACTGTACCATGCAATATTTCTAGGGGGAAACACGACTAAAAATACATTGTCTTGCATGTGTAGCAAGACAAGAACTTCTGTGATGCATCTTCTGCATTACAAGCTTGTTACAGTGAAATAGTTTTTTCTCGTGATATATTTCTCGTTGATCGCAATGCCTGGGTTTTCGAGCTTCTTATCACTCAGCTTCGCGTTTTCGTACTTGTCCTTCCACGGCTCGACATTCAGGTGTCGAAACCGCGATTCCCGCACGATCGGTTTGCGAGTGGAGGAAGAGGAACGCATTTTGGAGTCGTGTGTGATGTGTGTTTCAGTTTATTCTCGTTTTTTTATGTGAATCAATACATGTAAAAATGAATCATACACGATCGGAGGCGGAGCGCCCGACAGTTGGCACAAGAACAGGAACTCTGCCCACAGACTTGTGCCAAGTCGCTTTCTGAATTGTTGTTCACTATTTTTGCGTCGTAGGAAAGAACAGAAAATCTATGCAGGAAAAGCCTCTAGCATCATGAATAAACACGCAAAAATAATTTTTCTCCAAAGTCGTGTTCGCTCCAGCAACAAGAGTAAATAGCTGCTTCTCTCTGTTTGTCCTCCTAATTCATCACAAGTTGTTACCACAACCCTCAATTTGATACTTGGACCTCGTGTCATGGCAGTGTTCCAAGAAGGTGACAACGGGTTGTCTGCAGGACCGACATCAAGGTCATATATTCAGAAACGAATTCCCCCGGCGGAGATTGTAAGACGAGCAGAAGACGGCAAGAATACCAAGGCCACAGATATTCATGTTGCAGACAGAAACGAACACAGGTGTCGTGAGTGATCGCGTCGACGAGATGACGGCGCTGGCCGCACATCAAGTAGAGCAACTTCCAAGCTATGCTTTCGATTCGTTTCTGTAGTATCTGTGTTTGCGCGGTGGAAAATAAGTTAGTAGATGAACAGAGCCACCATGTTGTCTAAATGGAGATATACTCCTTTTTTCTTTCAAGCGATCGGCCTACTAATCCACTTCCATCTTCACTGCTCTGCTATTCCCTGCTGCGGTTATCCTGCGCAAAAGCATCGAACTCGGTCTCGGAGCAATCGCAATCATGCATCAAAATACCTTTTCCAAGCTAAATCAGCATTACAATTTCAATATAACAGTGGTCATGCTGAGCTAGTGTTTACATGCAAAAATACCACGAGTACGATACCTTTGCGTTGCATAGCAGTGTTCTTGTTCTTAGTTGTCATCTTGGCCGCGACGGTACTTTCGTCCGCCTGCTTTTTCAACTTTCCGCAGTATTTCGAAAACCACGCCAGGTATTTCTGCAAACAACTTTTCTCAATCGGAATGTTCGCTTCTATTTCGTCAATCAGGTTCCCGAGCGTTGGCACGGTTTCGAAGTCGAAATTCTCGATATCGATGATTGGCACGCAAACTCGGCTATGCATTGCAAACATGTCTGGGTCTGGAAACCTGTGATGCTAGTTGGTGAATGGTGCGCGCATTGCAACATGCAGCCACACATGACAAGTTTTGGAGCTCCTGTGTCTTTCGCTTTCCGCATGACAAACTGCATATTTGCATGACAGGAGAGAGCCTTTAACCTGCTCATGCATTACAGATTCATTTAAGACTCGTGTGAGACAAGCATGACAAACATGGCAATCTTCTAGACCCAGGCTACATATTTGCAAAGCATATCGGCCCGTCTTCGGGTGGATGCAGAAGGGGCACTTCGCCAAGTGGTTCATCTGCTTCGTCACGTTCACGTCCAGCCGCGGGAAGAGGAGTCGCAGAAGCGTTTCGTACTGCAAGTGCTGCTATGCATTGCAAAAATGTCTGGGTCAGGAAGGATGGCAGGTTTGTCATGCTTGTCTGGCATGACTACAGAGTTTGTGATGCGCGTCCAAGAAGAGAGCCCTCGGCTTGTCATGCAAAAACGCAGTTTGTCGTGCGGAAAGCGTAACACTAAGCCACGAAAATGTTTCTCATGCTTGGCTGTGCATCACAGAAAATTTACTAGTCACAACCCAGCATCACAAGTTTCCAGACCCCGACATATTTGCGGTTGATAGCTGCAGCGCCTCGGAGTTGCCTTGGTTTGACTTCCCGTACCCGGACCTGTTTTCGCTTGCGGCTTGCTGCTCGTATTAACTGCAAAAGTGTCTGGGTCTGGAAGAATTATGCTGATTTTGCATGACACAGAAGGGCTGGCATGAAAGCTCTAGCATCACAGGTTTCCAGAAGCTTCCGCAATACCGAATCCGCATCACAAATCTCCCATTTTGGTGACAGAAAGTGGGCAGCTTTTGCTGCCTATGCATGGGAGATTTCTCTATGTTCTGAAATGCGCATCACAAGTTTGTATTCTTCCAGACCCAGACATTTTCGCAATCGATAGCTCGTCTTTCGAGACCTTCTCGACAAAACGGTACACATCGACAGACTTGCTGCTTTCCTTTTTCCTTTGTTCTACTTTGCTGCAGAAGTCCTTGAACTGACTCGCTAACTGGTCTTTATTCGTTGCGGAGAGGACCTGCTCGATGCACATCAGGTGTTTGTTATTTGCCAATGGTGGGTTCAGGGGCTCCTGCTCTGGGAGAATTTTGTCCAGCATTGTATGCATTGCAAAAGTATCGCACTCGTACTAATTGCAGGTATGCACGACAAATCTTATTCTCAAGATAAAACTGCATGAGAAATTCCATTTCTTATGCTAAGCAAATTTGTAATGCGATTTCCACTAGTACGTGTACGATACTTTTGCAATGCATACAAAAAGGGCTCCAGCAGTTTCACCGACCGGGTGACGTGCGGATGCAGCGTAGTGATCAAAATGAAAAATCGCCCCTCCCCATACTAAAGTGGAGATTTGTGTAGCATGATTTGTGACCACATATCCTCGCGTTGTCATGCTAGAACGAAGGCACCAGCTCGCTTCGGACTGTAGCGCCCGCTGGCATGGGAAAGCCTTGCATCTTCAGCATGACAGGAAGCAACTGGAAGTAGTGGGAAACAGCATGACAAACTTCCTGCAGTTCAGGCCAAAACTGCGTTTCTTGGCCTTCTAGCAATAGAACTCGATTTGTGTACGCAAACCCAGCATCACAAATGTCCTTTTCGATGTGGGGACGGGGGATTTTTCCTCGCAATAGTAGTGGCGCCGTGTTTCTCCAACCGGATATTCTGGATTTGGTTGGACTGCACATTGTATCCAGTGCAAAAATGTCTGGGTCTGGAAGAAAGCAAGTCTGTGATGCTTGGCCGACAAGACAGAAAAGTCTGTCATGCTCGGCGCGCTACAGTGCCAGTTGCTTGTCACGAAAAAAGGCCATTTGTCATGCGGTTCACGCTAGGCATAGCCGCCGCTCAGAAACGTGTCATGCGCGCCCCCCTAATACAGGTACAGGTTGCGTATCATTCAAATGTGGACATTAGCATCACAACTTTCCAGACCCAGACATATTTACATTTGATACGTTGAAGAGGTTGATGTATTCAATTATGGCGGATCGCTGGTCGTTCGTCAGCTTCATGGCACTTTCGTCTATGCATTGCAAAACTAACGCACTCGCATTGCAGTCATGCATTTACAGATCTTTTTCTTCAGGTAAATCAGCATTACAAACTTTATGCTTCATGCTGAGGAAACTTGTAATGCATTTATACGAGTGCGATACTTTTGCAGAAGATATCGTCCGACACCCAGCAATGTACACCACGCCGTCCGGAGTACACGAACATGAAATGCTCAAACCCAAAATCCTCGATCAGAATGTTGCGGAGCAAGATCATCGCAGCCTTCAGGAACGTCCAACACTTGTGGCAAAGTTTCGCCCCCGTGCAGCAGGTTCGGACCTGGTGGAGAATGTTTGAGTTTGTATATATAAGCAATTGATTACAGGACAATAAACCACTGTTGTACAACTTTGTCGTGCACCAGAACGTCGCAAAAGCGATCGAAACGCTAGCATGACAAGGGAGTTCAACTTGTTCTAAAAAGCATCTTCACCTCGTCGTAGTCATCCATGTCGATATCAAAGATGAGCTCCCTTTCTGTCGGGTTATCCCGAATAAAAACGTCTCCAAGATGACCCCAGAGTCTTGTCATGCGGTTTTGCCACCACAGGAACATTTGTAATACGCATCGAAAAACAGGACAAGAAAACGGTCTTGTGAAATAAATACGGCTGTCCTTGCTAACCTGCACCACCATACAGCGAAAAACTTGTCATGCGCGGGTGCTGACTTCCAAAACTTCTGGACTTGTGTCGCAGACTTCAACGAACTATGGGGTCGACGTGGGGACGTTTTTCCCTAGAATACGGGTAGAACATGTCTTTGTGTATTCCGTCCTTTGTTTATGAGAGTGCACGACCCCCCCTCCCCCTCATTTGTCATGCAAAACCCCGACTCCAGTCACGGCCTTATGGCACTGCTTGCATGACAACAAGTTCTGGCATCCCAAATTGCACTACACTCCAGCACAAATTTGTCACGCAAAACCGGCATTTTTGCTGATGCTTGTAATGCCGAGCATGCTAAAGAAATGAGGGGGAGGGGGAGTTGTGCACTGTCATATTGTCCGCGGTTCGTGGGAATAGACCGGCCCGATTTCCATTCGGTCTGGCTTGTTTTTCATGACAGCGGTTTTCCAAGCAGTGGCATCACTGTAGGAGTTGAACCTGTAGTCACCAGTTTGTTTTATTTCCATCCGTGTTTAATTTTCTTGATTTCTTGCATCGGATGCATGATATTAAACAGGCTGCTTTTTTGGGTTTTTAGAAGGTCTCCATGATCAAAAAAATACCTATATTTACAATCAGAGGACTCCATGGTCATGTAGTTCTCCTTCTTCTTCTTCTTGCAGACCACACAGTAGCGTAATTTACTGTCGCAAACGAGACAACTATGCTTCTAATTCTATCGTATTGCTTTAGCAAAAATACCGGATGTAAATCTCCGGTGGGAGTTGAAATGTGATTTCCCGTTTTCGGTTCTTTTCCGCACCGCCCATCCATGTTACCAGATCGTCAAACGGAAAATGACGGTCATAGTAAGTCGGAAGAAGCTCGTAAACGTAGGCGTCGGTAGGCATTTTCTATTTCTACTAGTATCCGATAGAATTGTCGTGTGGTTTGTTGTTCCCTTTAGGAGGCGTCACGTCTAAAACGAAAAATTAAACAGAAGGCTTCTAGCTGATACATGTGTAGTACTAGTTGATCCATAGTACACACAACTGCTGTAATTCATCTGTTCTCTTGGAGTAGTCCATTCTGCTACTTTTTTCTGTTCTTGTAATCGTCAATTTTCAACACGGAGCGGCACCACGACACGATCAATCTGCAGGAAACAAGAACGAAAGGTCATCCAAGTGGGTGCAGTTGCACAAACATCAAGGGTTCTGTAGTACTGTCCAACAGGACCACACCCTCGACTTGGACCTAGATAGCGAAAATAAGCACCATCCTCACGAAGATAGCAGCATCCTTTGCAATTTGACTACCTCCACTTCATCTCGCAGCTTTGACGTGGACATTTTGGTAGTACACCAGCGAATTTGTTTTGGACACAGCGGGGAGGAAAAGTAAAGTGAAAAACTCAAGAACAGCGTCGTGATCATATGTGCACAAGAACTTTTGCTTGATTCTCGCCGTCGTCGCGAACAGAAAATATAAATACCACGCAAGCTACTTTTAAGGGTCGCAACCGCAGGAAGGACTTCTCATCTTCATTTTGTATCAAGTTCAAGAAGTCGTCCGAAGTTCAGAATCGTCAATATCACTTTGCCCAAAAATCAAAGTTGTTCCACCAGCACAGAATTCCATCCGTCCTACGACTTCACAATAATTTCCGTTCCGTCCTGTCGTTTGATTTATTGATTACGACTTCGAGTTGGTTCGATCCAAAAATCGCTGTGGAAAAATATCTTTTGCTTCTACAGGCAAGAACGTGATGCAACATCGGCCTGGAAGCAGCAGCAGGCAGTTCTTCTTCACCAAGAAGACCACTACCCAGAAGAACCACAACCACGTCACAAATTTCTCTTCTCTACTTGCTTCTTCTAGATCTCTGGTTACCTACCCGCTGCTGGCGCCCCGGCGCGTGACGAGACGGTGACGCAGTTAATTTACATCAAAATATGGGAAGCGCATCTGCTGGGAGGCGGTGGAGGTCCTGCAGCTACAATTTACTCCTTCGTAGTTTTACTTCGTCCGCTGCGTCGTTGGCTTTTGCAATCTCCTCTAACAAGCTCTTCACTGCGACGTCCTCTTCTGCACTACCGGGGGAAGAAGTTGTAGATATTTTTGCCTTCAACACCCCAAGCAGGTTCGCACTAGAGGCCGCAGAACTGCTCGGCCCGATAATGATCAGCTTCGTTTTGACGCCACCCGCGGAGGTCATCGCGTTCTCCACTTTTTCGTCGAACGCCTTCTTCGGATCCCTCGTGGTCTGCACCTTCTGCTGTTCGAGGAAGTTGTACAGCGGAAAAGCTACAAAAGGATCAAGGGACACCTGGATGTTGCTAAAATTATTCCTTAAAACCTGCAGCGCCATCCGCAACAGAAGTTCATCCGCGATCTTCGCATTGGCGTGCGGGGCATTTGTATCGCAAGAAAAAACTGTTTCACTGTAAACTTGTCATGCAGAGAATGGAACACAGAACAATTTGTCTTGCTACACCTGCAAGGCATTGGATTTTTAAGCGTGGTTTCCCTTGGGAAGCACGCATGGTAAATTTCCCCTGTCATGTGTAGCAAACTTGTGATGCGGATCCTGCAAAACCATCACAGTGAAACAGTTTTTTCGTGGGATAGTTTGAACCTTCGGTTTTCTCTACGCGAAGAAGAAGGCGGTAGTTTTTATAACCTGCTCAGCTGTTACAATCTCAAACGTTACAATAGAATATGGAAATCTGTGATGCAAGAGTGCATGTTCTAGCCAACTCTCATAGGATTGCGCATGACAAGTTCCGGCGTCCCAAACTGAACTACAATCTGGCGAAATTTGTATTGCAGAGAGAGAAACCCTCTGCGAGTCTGTCATGCTCATCATGCAACACAAGTCTCAAATTCTATTGTAACGTTTGAAATTGTATCACCTGAGCGGGTTATAGTTTTCCTCTACTTTGGGCAGGTGTTCGGGGGAGAACTTTTTCGCGATTTTCCGTAGATCTTTGTCCTTGTATGAATTGCAAAAGCATCGTACTAGTAGAAATGGCATGACAAATTTTCTCTGCATCACAAATGGAATTTGTAATGCTGATTGGCCTTGAGAAAGAGACTTGTAATGCATAAATGCAATTACTACGAGTACAATACTTTTGCACAGGATACCTTGATTTGCCCGGCAAAAACCTGGCTCCATTTGCTCGTTTTCATAGCGGCGGAAGTTGAGGACGTCATTTTTGAAGAAAGCGCAGGATCTTCACTTGTGGCCATTCTAGAATTTTCCGAATAAATGAGGGACGACGAGCCCGTATTATAGTAGTTCATACTTCTTTGCAACGCGGTAAAACTGGTGTACTGTGACAAATCACACAAACGATAATTTTTCTATTTGCTTTATTTGTGCGGCCGGAAAAACAGCATCTTACCAGCAACACTGTCTAGAAGAAAATGCGACTGTGCGTGGATGCTGCACAAGCTACACGTTTTTTCTCAATATAGTTGGGGCTGAGTCCGTTACGGTTCGTTACGGCTCGTTTCACCGTAACGAACGAATTTTCGTTCGTTCGTTACGGTTCGTTTCACCGTAACGAACGAACGAACGAGTTCGTTTGTGGCATCAGAACGAACAAACGAACGAACGAACGAACGCACTGGCTTTGCCATCCAAACGAACGAACGAACGAACGAACGAACG